CCTATTAAAAGATCTAAGAAAACTTTACCCATACCTACTAAAATATCCAAGAAAAAGCTTACCTTCAACCTACTACAATATCTAAGAAAACCTTAAATATAATTTGCTAAAATATCCTGCAAAACCTGCTCTATAATCTACTACGATTTACAACTTACTACAATATTCTACGAAACTTTATCTGTAGCTTACTACAATATCTAAAAAATTTTTACTTATTGCCTACTACAATATCGTACAAAACCCAAAAAAACCCTTTCTACAAAACAATAGCTCTAGTGCTTTAAAAACTCTGACATCTTTCATCCATGAAGGTCGCGCGAAAAACTCGTCTTCAAAATTTAAAAAAAAGTTCTTCATATAACGCTCTCCCGTCATTTCAATCTGTCATAAACCTCTTCGGAAACAAAACAAGGGCGGAGAGAGTGGTTAGAGAAAGAGAGACTGGTTAGAGAAAGAGGGAGTAGTTAGAGAAATAGATAGTGGTTAGAAAGAGAAAGAGAGCGCACAAAATCATGTGTACTGAAAGAGTCAGTCAGAGAAAGAAATGCGCAACGTATTATAAAGAAGGACCAATCTGTTGACTATGCCGCAAAAACCGGGGGTAGATCAAATTGAAAAGGTTAATACCGTAATTCTGGTTTGTCAACGTCAAATGGCAAGGTTTGGTGGTACAAACATGGAGTACTAGGTTGATGGGAAAGGGATGGAGTAGGCTTATACAAATTTTTAAAAATTATTTGTAAAACACTTGGCCAAAAAGGTTATGACATAATATATGATGTAACCACCTCTTTGAAGACTGTAAATCAATCGACCAGATGCGATAAACAATGTTGAGCCTATACGCAAGTGTCGTATAATAAGAAGGTCATCAAGAGCATAATTATGCATTATGCGACACCTGGCGGCGGCAACTGAAACCTTAAATAGATTAACGAACCCTAATACGATCTGACGCTACAAAAGCGTATCCAAAAGGTTGGATTAGTCGATTAAAGACGAGTGTGTAGCTTATTTTAGCTTGATCGTACATGAAAATTTGGGACGTGGTACGTGGTATATAGATATAGTGATTGAAAGATACATAAAAAGAATCTAGATCAATTCTAAGGTCTTTAAGCGTCTTTTATAAACTTTGAAGGCCCGTAACTTTCGACCGGTCGATTGTACAAGCATAATATTTGGAATTTACAATGCCCCTACACTGTCTTTATAAGGATCCCGATTTCAAACTTTTAGCTTTATTGCCACGCTTGCAACGAATTTTTAAAAAATATTGACATAGCCAAAAGAAAACAAAATTTTCAATGAATTTTTAAAAGCCTTGCCTCATCCTGGATAAGGAGATAAGGAAGTGAAGCTTTTACAAAAGTACAACTAAAAAACAACTAACCAAACTTTATTACCTAAAGGCATATAACAAGCCCAAACCTGATTGTCTACGCCCTTAACAATAACCACATCCGGGTGGAGCAATCTTGTTACACTAAGTGTATTTGAACAACTACATTAAAACAAATTGTATTCAGACTTTTCATGGCGCAGACAAGTGCCAATTCCCAGGCGTTCGGCTTTAAGTTCCTTTTGCAATTTGAGTGACATCCGAAGAAACGAAAAACGAACATAAAACAATCAAATACACTCGGAAATGGCATGGTTATGGGGCGATATTATGATTCCAGGATAGTGCGGTTTGTCAACTATTGTTTTAAAAGTCGTCGAAGGTAAATGGGCAGCAATTTGAGCAACAATCTTTTACAAAACTTATTGGTATAAAGGTAGGATAAGGTAGAACAAGACTGAGCAAGGTATTGCAGGGTAGGGCAGAGCAGAAGAAGGTAGAGCAGGGTAGGATAAGGCAAGGCAAGGTAGAACATATAATCTTATCTTTAGAACCTAGTCTTAGCTTTAGCCTTGTAGGGCAGGATAAAACAAGGTAGAGTAAAGTATAACAAGGTAGTGAAGAGTAGAACAAGGTAGGGTAAAATAGAAAAAAGGTAGGGCAGGGTAAACTAGAGTACAAATATGGTAAAATACGGGAATCTTGAGCAAGTTTTAAGGCTATGAAAAAACAGTAAAACGACAAATTGTTGTCCTTGGTAGTGAAGGCTTTCGAAACGCGTTAAAGAGGCTTACAAACGATTACGCAATCGATTAAACAGAGTGAAACGCTTGACCTTAATGACGACATTTCAAGTGTAAATAAGGATAAGATCGGGTACATACTGTAGCTGATACTCTGTAGATAATGTAGCCCACTGTGTATACAAGTTTGTAGCATAGCGCTAGAAGGACGAAAAGTACCTAATACTGGTGTAAACTACGGTAAACCCAACATATAGTTTTATAATTTTTGCCATCCTAAAAATCACCCCTCTCTAACCCCAAAAAACAGCGTTCTCAACACTTTTCGCAAGCCCCTCTAAACGGAAGTCCATTAAATTCTTTAGATTCAGCGAATTTTTAATTTGGACTTGGCCCATTTCAACTTGTCCATTATTCCCTCGCGGTCATCGCTCGCGAGAAAAATAAGCATTAAAAAAGACATTTTGTCCGAGGACCACTCATCCGGCGAGGTTTCTTCCCCACACCCGCCCTCCCAAACAGATGATCGTGTGTTTGCGGAGGATAAAAAAGGAGTACCATTAGACAATTGATTCAAGTTTGTGAACGTTCTTCGACGTTAGTAAGCGGGTTGGAATTGAGAAACATATAGCAATGAATTATACTAGCCGTTGCCTGGCTCTAGGTGTAAAACTAGCTGAAAGTCTAGCCTACGCTACTGCTTTTGGGCATATATCGCTGAGTTAGAGCTGAGCTCAAAAATCATACCAACTAGACCTGTAAAGAAACCGGTGTCAATTTCTTCCTGACAACTGGAAGCTGTTCTAGCCCTAGCTATAGGATGAGGCCTAGCCCATCTTTAGCCTTAGTCTTAGCCATAGCCATAGCCACAGCCATAGCCTTAGCCTTAGCATTAGCCATAACCCTAGCTTTAGCCCTAGCTTTAGTCCTAGCTTTAGCTCTAGCCTTAACGTGGCTCTAGTCCTATTATAATAGTCTATTTTTATTTCCACCTTGTCCTGCCTTTCATTTTTACTCTGCCTCACCTTAATTGACCCATAACAAGTCAATTCCAAACATAATCAATCAGGTCTCATCCCCTCACCATCAATCCGACCCCACCCTCATGAAGCCACCTCTGACTTCAAGGCTTCTGAAGTCACTTAATTTGGCAGTGACACGACGCTGACATATTAGATTAATTGCGCAAAAGCAACATAAACGCATTTACGGCGATTGTAAAGGCGAGGCAGCAGCTGTCTCGTTTTGGGACTCTAATTTCTCGCGCATCTCAGCGAAACGGCGACGGAAGGCGATCCGACAGAATTGTTTTATAACTGCGCCAAGATTTTCGACAACAAAAAGGCATTTCGGCCCCACGAGTTTCATATGCATAAGAAATGGCACGAAGAGAAAGAAACCGCTTAATTATAATATAATAGAAGCGAAGCGCAACGGCCGCCGTTTGACATTTGAAATGCACTCGGTGCGTGTTGTAAATGAGTTTGAATGTGTATGAAATGAATGAGGATGCGTATGAAAGGACGTACAATAATAGTGACGATTATCAAGTTGTCCGAATATGAATGAGCCTTCAAAGCGCTTAATTTTGAAAATTTTGGCTCATTCATAGTTGGACAACCTGATATATTAATATATGACAGAGGGCGGGCTCACTAGGTTTGGTCGAAATTTTGTTTCAATTCAATTTGGCCATGGCTGGGTTTCAAGTTTAAGCTCAGCCGGTTTTTTTGACGGGAAAGGTTTGGCTCGGCTATTGCTCTAAATCTAGTTAAAAGCTTAGCCTAAGCTACTATTTTTAGTCTTAGCTTGCTGAGTTAGCTGGGCTTAAAACTCGTCTTAACTAGACCTGTAAAGAAGCCGGGTACAATTTCTCTGCTCTTTCTACGGGCCGGGCCCAATATATTGGCCTAGCTCACAGGCCGGGCCTAACTTATTACTTCGGGTCTTGGACCGAACTTTGGTTTAGGCTCCGACCTTTGTGGCCACATGTGCCGACCCATACTGCTTCACACTTGTTTTGAACCGGCTCACTAGGCCTAGTTGGGCTTAGTCTAGTTGGCCCTTTTAGGTCTAATCTCAACTTTTTTCTCCGCATACTTATAGTCATCATTTTATTTGTAAAATGCTGACTATAAGGGGTGCGGATGTATGTATGTCTTTACCATCCTTATTATTGCCAACCAAAATGACAGTCGTCGAGCCATAATTAGTTTCGCATTATATTTTGACAAGATACCATCATCTCGTTGACCTCACGATACCTCGGTTTTCTCGAGAGGCTAATTATAGTGAAGCGATTGCAATTACTCGCGCTACCACGCTGTATTATCTTTCCGCCTCGATGTTTTCTCGAATTGAAACGCGACGGAAGTGCTTGAACCTGATTCTTGTTTGCTCAGTTTTTGACTGGCCTGGGTCAACTTTAATGTATAAGCAATGTTAATGTATAATATATCATGAGCTATGGTTTGGCATGTTTTTGTTGGTACTACAAGGTTATCAAATATGCTACTACGCTTAGGGTATACAATACAATGCTTTTATAATTAATCTTGATATAAGAAATCGTTGTTATTGTCAACTGAAGGACTGAAATACAGTAAGAGCATTATCAAAAAGTTTAAAATGTACAGTAACAAATGCAATACCAAGAAAATTAAAACAAAAATGAATTTTAAAACAATATTATTAACAATTCTCAAAAAACAGCTAGGATTCACATTTTTGTGTGACACATATAGTAACATACGTCAATGTTGAATCAAAATTCAAAAACAAAAATTTGAATAATCATGCCTCTATGATTATTTCCATATTTTTGGTTTTGATTATTTTGACATTTTTAATAGAAAGTCAAGTCATGCTTGTAAATCATGTTGAACATCATTACAGTCAGCTTTATATAACTGATGTTGGTTATGTTTGAGGAGTTGTTTTGCGATCAAGTACATACATTTGGAGGTACTGTAAGTTAACATGCTTGAGAATATTGTAAGATAATATAGTTGGAGGTACTGTAAGATACTATACTGGGAGTTACTGTAAGATATTATGGCTGGAGGTACTGTAAAGTAATATACTTGACGGTAGTGTACGATAATATAGTTCAAGGCTCTCTGTAAGATACTATAATTAGAGGTGCTGTAATTTAATATACTTGTAGATAGTGTACGGTGTAATACCCAAAGATACTATCATTCAGAATGATGTTTCGAAGCCTTGTATTGGTTTGCTTGTTCAGTACAGTATGGTCAAGATCAGTAAGTTATGATTTTTAAAATTATTTTAAAGTATTACCAAAGTTTTGAGAGCAGAATTATGTGAAAACCCTAGTATAAGGCAAAATTTTTTGAACTTTTTGAAATTTCGAAATTGAAGGTTACTGAAGATGATTTTGCTACAGTAATGGACGGAATTATCATGCATTCAACTTATCAACCAGTCGAATTCGAACAGTACCCTACTCATGATGGAGAACAGATCAGAAACTTCCCCGCCATGATGTAAGGGTATATGTTTATATTCTTGAAGTTTTAACGAGAATATTATTTTTAGTTGACTAGGTTAAATCGTGTAGACACTGTATTTTACAAAAAAAAATTTAGAGAAGATGAGCAAGGAATCTATTACTTTGGCCAAGCTTATCAAGATTCTGATAACAAATGGTGCGCTTTGTTCAATATCCGACAGACTATCAAAGAAACTTGTACTCGATTTCGTGTTCTGGTCAATATTCCCAGAAATGAGTAGGTTTGAACAGGTTTAGGTAACATTAAAGGCTATTTTAATGCATTTTAGGCTTTGAAGAAGGGATTTTATGCTATTTTAAATCTAAAAAAGTTTTTTTAATGTTTTTAGATTGAAAAACACGTTCTTAAACTATAGCTTCTAATTTTATAGGTATTTCCTTCGAAACCCATCAAATATAGAGCCAACCGATGAATTGGTCACCGTTACCGACAGCACTTTGGTGTTATTGAAAGACCAAAACAAAGAGGGTGATACTGTATTTGGGACGTTGGCCAAACACCCTGATGGATATTGGACCGTGTTGTACATTGATTACGAGAAGAATGCTCAACGACTCGAAATCGACCAAGTTTCCGGCAAGTACCTGTTGTACGTGGTCAAGGATCATATTTCTAAAGTTTAATGCTTTAGGATGAATAAAAATTATTTTACAATGAATGTGTACTTTATAAGATTGTTGATAAACAATTTATGATATCTGATCAGCTGTTTTTGATAAATCGGCCAATTTATCGTGAAAAACTGGCTGCGCAGATTGGGCGCAGCTCTGACTGTTTGTTCATCGTTTTGGAACGAAAAAACGTGGAAGACAAGTTTCCGACATTTTTATTGTGAATATCTACACATTTCGGCAATAGAATATAGTTGTTTTACTATCTATTGATTAAGACACAAATTCTAAAAGCTTTGCGACTTTAATTTCATAATGAAACTCAAGTTTTTGCCGTGTTTTCGCAAGAAAACCAAGGTTTTCGAGGGTCGGCCAATGTTTCTTGCAGATGAAAGTGATCCTCAGCCTATTGAAGGACAATGTTCTGTTGAAGTAAGTCTTTTCATATTTTACTTTATTGTTTTAGTTAAAAATTTTGATGGAATTATGTTTTTTGAGCGTAACACCGACGTATTACTCATAACGTTCGATGTTTTTGAATGTTACCTAATTTTAAATGATGTTACATCTAATTTCTGAGTTTTTTTAAAGAAATATTAAAATTTAATATATTTGCAATGAGTGTTTGTAATATTTTTAATGTTTTAGGAGTTTCAAGCAGCAATTGCGGCGATAGAACAGCAAGATACGTTAACATTGGAGCGAATGATTCGAAGTTATGGGTCGGACATGGTGAATTGGAAGTCAAGCACTTCTCAGTCGCTTTTACATTATGCTGTGAGACATGAGAAGTTGATCTCATTGAAGTTCTTGGTTGAGTAAGTGTTTTAGGTTATTGTTTTGGTTTTTAGGCGTTTATCAACATAGGCTACGTTAATATCAGAGTTCTTATTGAAATCATTAAATTAATGAATTTTAATGGATTGTATAACGTTATAGCGTAAAAGACCAACTTTTCATTAACATATTACACAATTTAGACAATTTCTTTCATGTGTTATATTGACAATGGCAAAAGCTACGTTCTTCATCCCAAAAGTTGTCTTTTTTAGAAACCGCGCGAATGTTCACGTTCATGATAAAGTTCTAAACTCAGTGTTTCATTATGGAGCCAGATTTCAGTCAGTAACGTGCATGAAGTATCTCTTGAAGTTGTTGAAACAGTTGGCCAAAAACGATCTCAATGACTTGACTTTGGAGAGGGGAGATCTTGAAGTCGGTAGGAGAGTTTTGGCATATTATATGATTATAAATGTTCTTGTAAAATGACTTTCATGGTGGTTTTATTAACTTTTTGGAAAAGTTATGCATATTTTTGAAGTTTTGTCTTATTTTAGTTATTTTTACGAGGGAAATGGCATTTCAAATGCATATTGATGATAATATTTTAGCTAGAAGTCTGTTAGATGATCCTGCGGTGGATGGACGTACACCTTTACATTATGCAGCTACTCATCGTGATCCTAAGGTTGTTATAGTAAGTTTTTATAGTTTTTTCTTTTTTATTTAGCTATTCTTTATGTTTAATGTAAAATAACTAATACAACACGTTCTTTTGCTTAACCAAGATTCATATTGTTCTTATTTTAACGATTTTTAGATGATTCTTCGAACCCTATACCTATTGTTCAGTCCAGAAGACTTTGTGACTGTTGCCAGCCGCTTGGACTGTCAATTTCATACAGCTGCTCACGTTGCTTGTCGTTATAAACGAGTGGATGTGCTTCGAGTCTTCATTGATCCACATGAATGTCATCGGGTGATCGGAGGACGTAAATCAGTGTGCAAAGCGTTGGTCAGAGAGATTCACAACAAACTACAGACTCCAGATTTGGTAGGCCGAAGCTTGAATCCGAACAGAAAGCCAGAAGTCAGGCCGAAGCTGGTGGAGAGAACTTCTTCTTTGAGGGTAGGGTAGATTTCAAATTGGGCCTACTAGGTTTGGCATCCGTTCACTGTATCAAATTTGAAAGGGGCCGGGCCGATACGCGGGCGCCAGAGGGCCGGGGTCTAAACCAAAACTTTGCCCATGGGCTGGGTCGAAAAAATTTGCCTTTGATAACTTAAAGAATTGTTGAAGGTACCAATGATGGCATTGAGGAAAGTAGTCTCCAAGACAAACAAAGAGACGGCAGATGTTATGATAAAGTTGCGACAAGAGAACGACTACCTGACCTATCAATTGGAAAGGCTAAGATTCGAGTTGGAAGACCAGAAAAAGTTGTTGAAAGCCAAGGAAGCTGAACACCAAAGCTGTTCAAAGGATGATAAAAAGCTTGTTCCAACAGAACAGCTTCCAGAGCCAGTACAAGAAAACATTCCAAAGAAGAAGTCTCATCAAGGATTTGAGTTTCCGGTCTGTAGAATCCAAGCCAGCATTCTGGAAGAGTATTGGCAGATTGGACCACCAGCTGATTTGTCAATCGTTTCGAAACAGTTCAACTCATCTGAACTCAAATCTATTCATAACTTTTCACCATTGTCATCTATCGTGAATTCGGATTCTTCTTTTCTGTCTGAACCTTGAAGATTCAGAGAAAAAAATCGAGAGTTAACTTTGAAGTTATATTATAATTGGCATCTAGTTTAGCTAGGCCTGTAAAGTGCTGAACGGAGCTTAAGTTTTTGGCCTATCAGTGTGTCGGGTCGAGACTGGGCCTAGTAGCCGTCTTTTGTTTAGCTTTCAATTGTTGTTTAGTTTCTACCTTCTTTACATTTAGTAGCTCATTCATTGTTGTACAGTTTTAAAGTTGTTATTGACGATCTTAATTCGTAAAGTTGTTAATGCTAGTTATACTTTGGTCTTTCTACCTTCAGCAAGTGTTATATAGTTAGATAGTTAGTTGGACCTTACCATCGTTAAACCAAGTGGCTTCTCTTATATCGTTACCTTTTGGACAAGCTGAACATTTTACGCAGTCTTTCATTTTTTTTGTTATAAATTTGATAACAAATAGTTCTCTAAATCCTAGCTATTGGACTTTTGTTTTTACCAATTGTTTGTATATATAAGATTAGATGATTTTAGTATGTTGTTCGTATTTATATCAGAGACGGTTACATTAAAGTTCTTTTACTGTTGACGAATTTTCAACCTTATAAACATGTTTAAAGCATGAGTGTTATATTATGTAAGCATGTATATTAATTGACTTTTATTGGGATGAACGGAAGGCTACGTGGATTTATGGAGAGGGTGCGAAGCACGATGTTGTTAATGTAAGTATTTTTATTGTTTTTGTTGTGATTTTTAGGTATTTGACGAAGATTTGAGGTTTGTCTTCGTACTGAAGCTGTTTTTGGAATGAGATGCTAGTCGAATAGAGTGAATTTGTATTTGTTAGAGGGATAATGTTTTGGTGTTAATTTTGAAGTAGTGTTATTAAAAGTTGTGGATTTTTCTGGAAGTAAGGACCTTTTCATGTTACACTTGAGAGTAACGTTTTTTCGTAATTTTAGGTATAATATATAGGTGTACCTAAGGAAATCAGATAATTACAGGATTGTATTTAGGTTATTGTGTGAATTAACATTAGAAAGGTTGAGTTCTACTTGGTTTTTGAGATCTGAATAGAGATTAGGATGTTATAGGTGATATTCGAGTATAGTTTTTAAAACTTTTAAATTTTCAGGGCTCGTTGGACTAAAGGCTGTTTTTGCCGGCCAGGAGAGAAGGTATAGAATATATGGGATCAAAGCTCAACGGAAGAGAACATTGGTTTGGTGCTCTACGAAGGATAATGGTCGAAGTTGCTGATGGATAATATAAAAGGTAGGTGTTTTTGGAAGATAGTTGGTGGTTTGAATATTTTTTACGTTGTCTATGATTTTGTGGACAACATATTGTTTTTTTTCCATTTATGTGGGTATTTATGTTATGATTGATGGGTTTATATAATTTTTTTTGGAAATTTAGTTATTATCTGTTGTTTTTTTATTATTAAGTCCAAAGAACCGACTTCATGAAGGTCATGGATAATATAAAAATAATTTAATTCAATATCTGACATTTTGATGACTGAATTAAATGTTTTAGAAGTTTCTAATCTACTACAACATCCGTCAAAGACCACAGGCCAATAGCGCTGGCCATTCGGCACCAGACGTGACCAAACATGGGTACCAGCGACAACAGCATTCGAACATCAGATGGAACCAGCCCGTGATCTGTAAGGGCATAAAGAAGAAACATAACCTATCATAATATTACTGTATTTTTATTGTTTTGAATTTTTAAAATTGTGTCATTTTTGACATTTGCAAAAAGTTAAACTTTTTGTTGATAATCATTGTCCATTTGTCCTTCTTTCCTCAACGAGGTGAAGCCGAGCCTGCTCTCCCTTCTGTTTCTTGTACTTTTAGCGAGGCTAAGCGGGAGGTTCAAGCACTCGTGTTCTTGGGGTGGCAAAGGCACAAGTTTGACCTAAAATAACTTCTTTTTCGAAATTAAAAAATGATTTTTAAGCTTTTTTATTTAATTTTTTCAAAATTTTGACTTTTTAGTCTTGCTTTAAAATCTCGGTCTTTTCAAATCAAAGGCTTTTTTTGGTAATGTTCATTTGTGCCGAGTCTGCTCCTCCACCTGTGGTATTATGCGCAAGGGACGCAAACAATCAATTTGTGATGCCTTGATAGCGATACACACTTGGATGTTGCTCTTTTCTTTCGCGGAGTAATCTGGATTCAGTTGGCAACCCGACGGTGACGAACCTTAAGAGCTGAAGGAACGAAGACCTCGCAAGGGGTGGATAATGCAAAATTTTTTTTTGATTTAAACATATCAGTTAAATTAAACAATCAAACAAAAAAGCTTTTGGATTCATAGAACCTGTACTCCTTCTTCACTAATATTATCCACCATTCCGAGTTGATAAAAATTTTATTTAATAAAATTTTGATAAGTAAATAAAAGATAAGAAAAAGTAAATAAAGGGTAATAAAAACAAGAAAACTAACAAGACAATACTGATTATGTACATAAGTAGAGATTTCGAGTTCATGAAAAAATGTCATAAAACTGAGAGAGGATTACTGTAACTCTTGTGGGAAGTGGAGGCAGACCATTTTTAGGCGTGAATCAAGTTGGTGTAGACGTATTTCTTTTATATTGTTGTGAGTTTTCGTTTACCTTACTGTATTTCTCAGCTACAGTAAAGTAAATGATCGTTTACATTACTGTGGGTAGTACATTATATTTTACATTACGTAATTTCATGTACGATAATGTAAAAGCCCTTGAACACTAATAAAAAAAAGAGGCTTTACATCTACTTGATCTAATACTGATTATTATAAAAGTAGTACCAACTACTGATAACTGTTAGGTTGTCCAAATAACTTTGAGCCCCTTAACCCCGAAACTTGCTTTGAGAGAAGGCTCAGAATTAGTTGAACAACCAGATACATAAATAAAAAACAAAATATTTTTCAAGAATTTACAGATATAAAGACTGCGTTTTGGCCTTGTTATACTAATTTAAGAAGGGTTATATTAGTTTTAAATTTGTGAAAAATCAAAAAAACCAAAAATGCAGTACCATTAGTACTATTTGAGCACCAAAAAGAGAATATTTGTGATATCAGCGATGATTAAGTATATATTTTTAATAACATTTCAAAGCAATGTTATCATAGGCTTGAGACAACCATTTTGTTTTTATGTTGTGCTATAGCTTCGTACTGTAACTCTGTTGGTACAGTAGTCGTATTTCAGTAAAGTTATAGTAAGAAAGCACAAAACATAAAGTAAATTGATAAAATGAGAATAGATAATATGACAATAATTATTATTTGAATCGTTATCACAGACTTAATCTTCTTCAAAGCTATCTTGTGATACTTTAACAGCATCTTATGGTATCTTTGAAGAATTTTGTAGTATCTTTAGTTATAGATAATGTATCTTTTGAGATGCAGAGGTATAAGTCATATGATAATATAAGATATAAGCAGCACAAGTATATATACGCCACTGAGGTCTTGACAAACAAGGCCTTAGCCAATGGCTGGCTGTTGTGTTGGCCGTTTCTTTGGATGGCGGACGGACATTCGAAGGCGGCTCAGGTCTTCGGAGAAGATTTCGCCTGTTTGTAGCGCGTCAATCAGACGCTCAAAGTCCTTGTTCTTGTCGTCTCGTTTTCCACGATTCACTGAAATTTTTAATTATCAACATTGTTGTAGTCCATATTTCCTCAAAACTCGAAAAATAAAAAAAATGCCAAAAAATTCGAATTTACCATAAATTTAATTGAAAGATACCAATATTCTTCCTATAAAAATTATCGAAAAACCCACCTTTTCTAGAAAACAATGTCCTCGATATTGTCTGCTTCTTTACTCTCTCCTGATCTTCGCGTTCTTTCAGTACCATCGCATAGCAATCGCTGAATTGGTTCAAGAATCTTGTGAAGACGCCGAAGAATTGATCTGGACTCGACTTTGAAGCATCTTCGGCAAAGAAACGAGCACATTCCGTGAACTAAAACCATATTATATTAAAGAAACATAAATTTATATTGTTTATGACTAAAGCAAATATGATTTTATACATTTTTAACTCTAAAAAATCTATTTCTTAATCAGTTTTCTTTGAAAAATGCCTAAAAATTCTAATTTCCACGCTTAAATTCCGCTTCAAAGTCCCAAAACTTTAAAAAAATATTTCGAAAAAGACTTTAAACTTCAACATTCGACAGCCAAAAACCTCTAAAAACTTTTTTTTTCTTTTTTAAAAAATTCAAAAAAACTCAAAATTTTCAAACAAACAAAAATCTTATCCCTACCTTTCCCTGCGTGTCCTCATGAGCCGTCTCCAATGCATTCAAAGCTTTGTTGGCTTCTCTCAAGAATCCAGACACCATGGCAATGAATTTGTCAGCTTTTTGTCGTTGGCTCTGTCTTTTGGGAGCTTCTCCAGTCTCCACACCTGAATCATGTCCATGATCTTGTTCATCGCTGCATTCTGGAGCTTTTTCCTCCGGCTCCGGGAGGTTGTTATTGTTGTTGTTAATGAAGGCTTGTTTCTTGGTTTCCATGAGTTTTTGTTGATGGATTCGGAGTTCGGCCGAAACGAAGCACAAGGCTGACTGAAGGGATTTGATTTCTTGCTCCATTTCGTTTTTGCTGAAAGAAAAAGGCTTAATAGTAGATGGAAAAGGCCTTGATTAGAGCGATACTACCTCAATATAAATCTTCTTATCCTTACACAGCTATTTACACTACAAAAACCTAAATATCCACCTTTTAATCACCAAAAATACCTAAACCACCCTCTGAAATCCACAAAAACCAAACTCACGTAAACTTTGTAGCCTCGAAAACGCATTGTAACTCTCGTTTTATCCTCAACAAATCTGGGAATTTGTTCTCGATGATCTCGGCAATGTAATGTAATAGGTTTCGATCAGCTTTCAGCGATGACCTCACGTTCGTGACTTGATTTATCGATCCTATCGTGAATCCCATCGCATTTCCCATACGTTTTCCGAAATTTAGATAGTTTCCAATAGCCAAAAGCAAGGCTAAGAGCTGCTTGAGACGTTTGGATGAGGTTAGTGTTGTGGAGGCTTTAGAGACCGCTGAAAAAGATAATGTTTTAGGTTCTATAAGCACTGAATTTTAGAAATAAACATATAAATGTCTTGTTTCTTATTTAAACTATACGAATAACGTTCATAAATAATCAAGAAAAAATAAAGAAAAGAGAAATAAACAAGAAGAACATAAAGATGAAAAAGAAGAAGCTAAAGAAGAAGAACAAAAAACAAAAAAAGAAAAACTAAACGAGGAACAAAACAAAGAATAAGAAGAAGAGCAAGAACAAAAATAAGAACAGAAAGAAGAAAATAAAAAACAAGAAAGAGAACGAGAGAAATAACAAGAAGAAGAACAACAATAAGAGCAAGAAGAAGAATAAGAAAAAAAAAGAAAAAAAATATTTTCCTCTCTCTCCCAACTTAAACACATCCCTTCTATGACCTCATGTCTACTACAATATAATCTACACCTTCTTACCATTTAAATACGGCACCAATTCCTCAACTCGTTCTTGGAACGTTCTCATCGTGTATAGACACTGAAGCCTCTGCTCGTACCTCTGAATCTGTCCGACTTCGTAGAAGAATCGATCAGCCAGCGGCAGAACAGCAGGAGTTTTGTTCTTTGACAGTGTTTCATCAATCAGTTGGAGCTCTTCCTTTGTCGGAATGTACTTCAACATCTGTTCGATCATGTCCTTTGGCAATTTCTGTTTTTCGTCCATACTTAAGAGGGCATTTCGTATTTCCTTGTGACTCAACTTGAGCTTCGACAACATAATGGTGCAGTTCTGAGATCGTCGTGGTTCGATCACAGATTGAACCGTTTCTGGTTTGAAGAATCTCTTGTGTAGTGTGGCTGTTGAGGCTTCTGATTCCGTTTTCGTTGCGGCGAATTGTTGGCAGAGGATTGTTAGGTCGAGTTGGTCGTAAAGTTTCTCTTCATTCACGTTCTCCCAGACCGTGCCTTTGACTTTGTCATTGGCGAGTTTTGTCCAATTGAGAGTGCGGACTGATGAAGCTGGTTTTGGGACCTATAATCATATTGTTTTAGAGGTAAAATCATTATTCTTTCACCAAGAGATCACCTTCTCAACTATATCCAAATTTTTACCTTCATCCTCTATATACATGCCTATAATACTCAAAAACCCACCTTTTTCTTAACAGTTTGAGCTAATGGATTTGCCCCGAACGGTGGCGGAGGAGGTGGTGGTGGAGGTATCATACGAGGAGGTTGTACTGGAGGTATTGAGGCGATTGAAGATATTGTAGGTGTTGGAGATTGGCGAGGATCAGAAGATGTTGTTGAGAGATCGGAAACTCGAGAGAACGATGATAACGACATGCCATCCTGAAAAGTACAAAATTTTAAAATTATTTCAAAAAAGTTTTTACAATGTTATCCATGTTATAGTAGGCTCTAGAAACATTATTATCCCCAAAAATTCACCAAAACACCTACTTGAATATCGCTGAGTCTGTTCTCCAATTCCATGACCTTCTTCCTCTCCTGATCCAGCTCATCCTTCGCCTCATTCAACTCCTTTTCCAGCCTTTCACATTCGTTTTGTGTCCTCAACCTTGTCAGCACCTCATCCATCTCAAAATCGTAACTTTTGTTAAAACTTGGATCAACATCACTGATGTTACTATCATCCAATGTCGTTTTGATACTCAGCTGTTGGATGATCAAGTCGAACAACCGCCAGATGTTGAGATGCCTCTCGTCCGTCGGTACCAAAATCAGATGTTGTAGAATACTCAAGAAGCGAGGAAACGCTACTGTATGCTCCAACCTTCGTTGTAGATACTCGACGACTTGAGATGGATTCTCCACATCAACGTTCAGGTCCATCGACTGGTCTGAAGTAGACGCTGAGGATTGTGTGAGGTCGAGTTCGTCTTCGTGTCGCATCATTTCGAACAGGTCAAGATGGTCCTCCAAGGCTTGGCCATGTTGTGTGCGGAGTTGGTCGATTACTTCGCCGATTCCCAGCATCAGCAGTTCATATCGTAAGTGGAGGCGGAATTCGAGAGAAGTCTGAAGATAGCGTCTTTTAAAACCGTGAATCGATTTTTCTTAATTTTAAAGATTTTTCACGTCTTATCACTAATATACCAGTACAAGTTGTATATTAGACCTAGAAAACTAAATCTTCTACTAGTTAAAATTCATCCCAAACTTAAGAACTCGAACTTTATGATGCCGTCATCTTATCCGAAACTAACAGCAGCTAAAACACTGATTAATGTTGTCAAAGATACGAGAAAAGCTTACGCAACTCAAAACTAGCTAATTACCGAAGAAAGGCGTGAAAAGTATAAAACAACAAATTAGATATACTCTTCGAGAAGATGTGTAATGTATTTCTAATCAACATCCGTCAAGAGCTAATTAAAAGTTGATAAACACGATTTCCTTTATTACTCTTCTATTAATCATATATCTCATATATTACTTCTTTCTTGTCTTTGACTCTTTTTTGATCTTTTCTAGTGATTTTCATATCTTATAGTAGCTGGGTCACATAACTTTAAAGACTTGTAGTATTGCTATCGTAATGTACCAATAAATCGGTACTTTAACATCATTACACAGCAATAACAATTCTGTAATACAAGCCTTTATAACAAATTTATTAAACTACTAAAACATATAAAAATCACTTCAAAATATTAACATAAACGCCGAAAACAAGAATAAATATTTGAGAAGTATGATTAAAAGAAAAGTAATACAGCAAATCATGTTTATCAAGTTTAATCAGCATCTGAAGAATTTTGATTAAAAAGTACATTATATATCTTCTTGAAAAATATATAGAATGTTTTGTTTTATGCTCTTCACGCGTTTATTCTGTAATTAGCTAGTTTTAGGTTATATAAGCATTTCTCGGATTTTTGATAACATTAATCAGGGGTTTAGATGCACTTAGTTTAGGATAAGATGACGGCCATCATAAACAATGTAAAGTTTTTTAAAACTCTAATTTTGAATTTTTCTGAAGGCCAGGTTCTCTCCCTCCCATAGACCGTCCATATACCACAAAAAACTTATTCCATACCGTATAAACTTAAAAAATTCAAAGTCATGCGACCAATTTTCTCCTCATCCCTAATTTCAACCAACCATACCATCCTATAAAGCTTTATTCAAATTTACCCACCCCAACATTCCAAACACAAGTTTAGTCTAGACTCTGAGCTAACAAAACCTCGGGCATCGCATTCCGCTGTTCCCGCGCTAAAGAAATTTGAATAAACTCTTCTTCCTTTTATTCACACCTTTGATGCGAGGGAGAGTGACCAAAAGGAACGTGTGAAATTCTTTCGCCCCGAGGGTCAGATAACTGAAGGTCCATTGTGGGTCGGAAGTTCAGTTTAATTTGAATTCTTTAGTTTTTGAGATTTGGAGCATTAAAGCTTTAAACAGCTTTTTTAAATAATATTCCTTGCAATTTTTGGCAAAATCAACAAAAAAATCATTTCAATGCTACAAAAATATGCTTAGGGGCTCGAAATCGTTAAAAACTAAAATCATGCATAAAGTACAATCCAAAAACTAAAACATCATTCCCAAGAAGCCAGTTTTAAATTAGAGCCCTGCAAATCTTTAAACGCATCCCGTTTTCGCACTTTTAACCCCAAAATTAGCATTCGACGCAAGAATTCCCTTAGAGTGACCAGTGCTTCAAAAAATTCCGCATTACATTTACTATGTAAATTTTGTGACCATGTTATGTACGAGTAAGTTTTTGAGTAAAAAATATTTTTTTGAGAAATTTTTTCAAAAAAACTTTACAAAAAAGAGGTAGGGTATTTTCCTTGTAAACGAAAGTTCACGTTAAAAAAAATATTTAAATAAAAGTTCATTTTCGACCCTAAGAACCCAAATATAGTAATCACTAATCCCCTTAAAAAACATTTTAATACCCAAAAAGGAAACATTTTCATTGAACCAATGCTATTTTTTTTAATTTCACAAATTAGCCAATCCAATCTCAAATGGCATTTTGCGAACGGATAAACTATAAAAGGAAATAGGCTCCAAAAACAACAAATAAACCGGATATCAGTAGACGAACAAAATAACATCAAAGTGGACTATACGAATAACTCAAAATATTTTATGAGTTTTTGCAAAAACTTTCAAAATTTTAATGTTACCTAAATTTTATTGATGGAATGGCAATAAAAATATCTTGAAATTGGCTTTTTGTGTCATTTAAAAGCACAGTCTGTTTATAAATATTCAAAAAGTATTGTTGTAAACAGTTTGAACTTACTATAACATTTTTAAAAATTTTGTTACTTAAAAATTTTTACGTAAAATAAATATTAAAATCAGCCTCTAATGCTCTGTTATGTTCCTAAGATCATCAATTCAGTTCTCTATTAGCCCAAGCACTAAAAAAAATAAAATTTTTCAAAATTTGTTACCTAAAACCGAAAATCAAACCGGAATTAACTTCAAATACTTAGTTATGTACCTAAGATCATCAACTCATAAATTTATTGACCCAAAATCATTTAAAAACCTAAAAATAAATTTTTTCCGAAATTTGTTACCTAAAATTTTTCTTCAAAACAAAATTATAAACAGCTTTTAATGTTCATTATCTACATCCACTGAATCCATCGTCCCCAAAACTAACTGAAAACCTTCAAAAATCAACCGAAAAGCCAAGTTTTTACAATCTTCTTACCTAATCTTATAAAAACGTTAAGAACTTGTCCAAAAACAGCCCTCACCAGCCCCTAAATCAATTGAAAATCAAATTCAAAACCTCAAATTAATCAAATCCTATCCTCTAAACACATCCAACTCTCTAAACATCCTCAACTTCTCGGTTGTATACCTAAAAAGCAACAAAAAAGCAGTTTATTTGCTCGTCGACGTCATTATCCTATTTATTTTATAAAAAGTTTAACGTTCGATCTTGTAAATACAAATATGTCGTCGAAAAAGAAACAAAACCCACTATTTTAGTACAGAAAACCCACCAAAAGTACGATAAAATTGTCAAAAAATAACAAAAAATAAAATTTAATTTCATAATTTGTTGTTGAAATTTTTCGTGGTGGGACCAAGTTAAAGTTCGCATGAAAAGTTTAAACCTCTATTTTTTAGTTTGTAAATGTTGAAACAAAGCCAAAATTCGCATTAGATAAACTTGTCATATCGAGAAGGCTCATGCAAAATTTTAGCTTCTAAAGTGAATTTTCAAAAAATCGTGGCGGGACCCAACTGAGACGCGCGGGAAAAGTTAAAACTTCTATATTTTAGCTTATAATTGTTAAGACAAAACCAAAATACGCATAACATACACTTATCATATAAAGAATGCTCTGCAAAAAATTCAGCTTACAACCTGCGCTTTCAAAAAGTCGTGGCAGGACCAAATTAAGGTGGACGTGAAAAATTTTAAATGCAATAAATTGGCATTAAAAGGTCATTTTTGAATAAAATTTTGTTTATAATCTCCTTTCTGATATGGAAATTCTACACAATAGATTCTATACTAAAGTTAGCTTTTAAAAACTGGCGGTTAAATTTGGCACTAATTGGCAGCTCGTTAACTTAAAAAAATAAAAATATTTGTGACAACTTATAAGTGTAAAGCTATTAAAATCACACATTTAAAAGTGTCCAACTATCAAAATCACCCATTTACAAGTGTCAAAACCAGTACTTATACCCTGATCCCGGCTAACAACTTAAGGCGAGCAAAGTTCGTCGAAAAAAACATAAAAGCGTTCCGCCAGTGGGGATCGGAAGCGCTGATCCTAGCCATTTATCACAGCTTAAAACGTATGTTTTTGGATTTGAATCGTAAAACAATTTCGACGAAATCATTTTGCAGTGAAAGGTGCCGCAGGGGGAGGGGGTTGTTATTAACAAAACTTTGGGTGCGCAAGCTTTTCTTTTCATTTTTTCGATTCTTGAACGAACGTTTATGCAACAAAAAATGCCTTTCGTGTTTGATGACATTGGCGTTCGAGAAAAATGGAAAGGAAATTATAATTGGTTTGGGGGCTAGCTGATTGCGTTCAAACAGGAAAAACATCTTGATATCTTATGTTATCCTGCCCTACTATAAAATACATTATCATGCTCTACCCTACCCAACTTTCTCCACCCTACTCTACCTTATCAAAATCTTCCAAAAAATCACCCCTGCCATCAAAAAAATAATTTTTGAAAAAGATTAGAACAAGCTTAAAATTTCCCAAAACCTTCCCATTACTTTCGAATCTTAACCCTGCCGTAACCAAATAGCCTCAAGAAATATTCGAAACAGATTCGAGGTCTGTTCGCCTCGAGCGCGAACAGGTAACGACGCTGTAACCCGACCCGTGCTCAGATTTCATCTCTTAATTTTTAATTCTGATGCAGGGCTACTGCGGTCGAAATGCTCGAAGGCTTAAATTTGGCTTTATATATGCTGTATTGCAAAACTATCACTTTTAATTTATAAAGGAATACAGTATTCTTTTATACATTACATAGAGATAGCATTACTTTTATCTCTGAACTAGCAAAGCAAAAGAAAGATTACGTATTTTACATTGCAATGCCTTTAATTTTTATGTCACAATCCAAAAATAAAAAATTTTCTGAATTTCGACAAGAAAACCTGAAAAGTCAACAAAATGCCAAACTTTAAATTACGCCTTTCTAAATCATCATCGTTTAAATTCTTATGTTGTTCAAATAATTATGGGCTCCATAAGCCCAAAAATTTGCTTTGAGAAAGAGCACAGGATTATTTGAACGACCTAATATATATAATAATATCACACTACTAAATCGACCTTAACATCTAACACAACCTTATCATCCAAAGCATCCTTATCATCTACAACAACTCTAACATGAACCACCATCTGAACATCATCATAACCCCACTAAAATCCGTCTGCCTTAACCTATTACCTATTCAAATCTATTCAATGAAACTTTTGGAACTTTGACGTTCTGCGCGGCTTCTGAAGAATGCAAAAAGTATCCATTACAGCTCTTAAATAATTCCCAACCTTAATGTATTTAATTTGGTGGACAAAAGGAAAAGTGTTGGAAGGCTTCCAAAAATGTTTCAATGGGCATTACTGTAGGTTTAACACGGCGTTAAGGCTATAATTTTTTTCTTAATTGCTATCTTGTTTTAGGTGATGGGATGGCTACTCGTTTGAGTTTTAAGCATGAGTTGAAATGTTTTTTAGGTATAACACCAGCTTTTGGTTTTATAAAATAAATGTGAAGCTACTGCATATTAACATAGATATTAGTTTATTCGAATAATTCTGTGCCCCTCACCCCAAAAATTTGGTTTGAGAAAAAGCTCAGAATTATTTGAACAATATCAATACTATAGTAAAGATGCCTAATGATCACGCTATACCACACTAAAATCCTCTCAAGCTCACTATAATATCAACCATCAGTCAAGCCTTACCTCAGCAGGTCCACTCTTCAACAGCGCATTAATCAACGACATCAATGCCACGCGTACTCGTTCAGTATCTCTCGGTTGGCCGTGCTGTCGATGCAGTTCATCTACGAGCTTTTGGAATCGAGTACGTTCGCCCAGTAGCGTGGTGGCATCAGTGAAGGCCTTGAGAACGGCCGAATGCCCGCCGTCCGTCGCTAAACACAAACCGGCCAGGATTTCCAATGCCAATAGCTGAAAGTAGAAAAGGTTAGGGGGGTTTATAAAGAAAAAGGTTAGAGAGCTGATAATAATGTGTAAAATACGAAAAAAGTAAGTTCATTTTTTTAAAGTGAGGTTAGAGCTATAATATTATAGTAAGCAGCGTTTTTTCGTTAAAAACTTCGTATCACGGTAAGTTAGCGCACAATAGGAAAGGTTAGATGATATTAAGGTAGAAAAGGACAAAGTTATGCTAATTTACATACTCATCACCGCACCGTTACAAAAAAAAATTACCACACCCAGTAGAACCGCTATCAAGCACCCCTTTATCTTCTACACCCTCCGCTGTCAAATAGACTTTTTTACCCGTCCTGTACTAAAGTATATTCTTTCCTACCAAAAATATCCAGCACCTCCCACCCTAAACGTCCTACCCCTCCTACTAATAACACTCTACCCCTCCCACCCTAAACGTCCTACCCCTCCCACCAAGAACACTCTACCCCTCTCACCTAAAAAAGCCCTACTCCTACCACATCAACCCATGCCCAACAAAACCAACGTCATGCCACCCTTATCATCTTTGCAAATCATCAAAGTGTAGGAGTGTTATGAACGCATGTTTCAGACAAAATTCGCAAAGTCTACAGCATGATTTGACGCCTAATAGATGAGTCAACAATGAGCAAACAAAGAAGATCGCTAATCCGGACGAGTCATACCTTACGGTTAAAACTTTCCTTATACGCTCCTAATTAGAAAAGCATTTTACAGGTAATGTGAGTAAAGATTGATCAAGATTTATTGATAGAAAGATTAGTGGGGTTATTGTATCCCCTATTTGAAATAGTATGACAAAAAAAGAATAATATAGCGAAAAATAAATCAGCCGTTTAAGCCCAGCCCAAAATAGCCGTGTAGGTTCGGCCATAAAATTGGGCCAAGCCGGGGCAAACTTGAGCTAAATTTAGGTCGGGGCTAGCCTGAAAATCAAAGCCCGGCCCGCTTGCCCGTAAAAAAATTCGGGCCGGGCCGGCCCGAGGTAAAACTGAAATCTCACCCAAAGGAGTGGCAAGGTAAAAGAGGTGAGTAGAATAAAAGGTAAGTTAAGGTAAAATAGGATACGGCAAAATAGGGTAGGATAAGGTAGAGTCAGCTAATTTAAGGTAAGGTAAAGCAGGTTAATGTAGAGTAGGATATACAGAGTAAGATAGAGTAAAGTAGAGCAAAGTAACGTAAGATATGGTAAAGTAAGTTAGCTTAGGGTAGGGTAGGTTACCGTAAAGTATTAAGTTTAGAGCAAAGCAATGAAGTTAATCTGACCTTATGTAACCTCAAAAAACATCTAGCCAAAACATTTTTATTTTTGAAACGCTTCAAAGACCATTTCAGCCATTGTTATAGAATTGAAAAGCAGATTATTATAAAGCCTCTTATGCACACGTTCCAAGGGTCATATATCACATGTTTTTACATAGTAAAGTCCAACATAAAAGTGGCTTTCAGCTTTAGCTGATAAGTTTCTACAATAAGATATTACTCATTTTACCTACTGTTACTGCAAGACAAGACAACAATTTTTGCATATTAAGTTGTTCAAATAATTCTGCGCCCCTAACCCAAAAATTTGATTTGAGAAAAGGCGCAGAATTATTTGAACAAACCAATAGTAACTAATGTTTTATATTCCAAAACTTTTTCAATAATCGAATCAATTTTATTTACTTCCAACTAACTTTTGACCCCCTTCACTGTTTAGAAAACAACATAATAGTACAGTTATGTCAGTAAAATTTGCAAAAAGTTTTGGAAATAAAGCAATCGACACGTATTGTATTGTGTTAGTTGCTGGAGATCAGGAAGTAAAGACTGAACTTCCAAAGACTAACATTTCGCAATTTTGAAATTTCAAAACTTTATACATAAGGTATTCGAAACGAAAAAGAAATGGCAAAGAACACGTTTTTAAAAGGGGTAAAGCTTTTAGTTTATGCACCGGACAACAGTAGCTTATAAATTTGAAGATTTATAGAAGATGATGTTACCCTGCCCAAAAATTTTTAAAAAAGAAAGGTTTACCACGCCCAACATGTTTTTATTTTAATTTAAACTTAGTTGTTATAAAGTTATATCAACCTAAAAATTTATTTAAAATTTTTTTTTGAGGAGGCAAAATTACACCGCCCAAAAAAAATTTACATTCTAAAAGAAACATTTAAATTAAAACGTTACCCCCGCCCAAAAATCCTAAGAAAGGCGCCAATCAACAGAACCCCCCCCGCCCTACAAAGACTAAAATAGCTTCAACTAGTACCTGGCGCCTCTGTATCAGTACAAAACTCATCGTTATAATGGCGCCATCCCATCCCCGCCCTTGTAGAATCGTGCTGGCGCCTATTCGTATTTGTTTTAAACCTAGTGATAAGACACTTATTTGCATAAAAACTTTGCAAAGTGTTCGTTTTGCATGTTAAGTCGCTTATTCTTGAACGCTTAAGTGCTTCGACAACTTGTTTCGAGGTGTTAAAAGTGCTGATAAGAGAGGTTAATCATTTGACAGCTCTTAATTGAGAGATTAAACATTAGAATTATTTGTTACAGAGAAATGGTAAGACCGTATTTTACAAACTAAGAGTGGTACACTAGTACTAGTGCTCGGCATGTTAATGCTATGGGTACTAGTACTAACAGCATTAGCACAGAGAGTTCAAATAATATTAAGCTGTTCAAATAATTCTCTGCCCTTCCTCGGAGAAAATTCTCACGGTTAGGGGCACAGAATTATTTGAACATCGTAATACAAATTTTAAAAAAATCTTTAAAATTTCGAAAATTTCAAATAAAATTTGAAAGATTTCAAAGCCCAGAGCGAATTTTATACTTTTCCCCAAGTTTCAGTAGCTTTTTATTGTCGTAAAAAGCTTGTTTAACAAGTAAAACGTGTCATAAATTAACGTCGAAACGGTTCGAAAGTGTGTCGGCAAACACTTTGACATTTTGATGACATCACAGTGAACTACGGAAGATGTTGAGAGTAATTAGGCAGCCTATAGTACTACCATATCATGAAAATCTTGAGAGATGCTAATATAATAGAGATTTTGATGTCTACGATAATATAAAGTAAAATACGCTCTAAAAGGTGTTTTTTAACTATAGCAGTGAATACAGTAAATTTCGAAACAATGAGTAAAATATTTCGAAATGCGAACGCTACAATAAATTCAGCAACACTTGACTCATCACGAAAAATCCAGTTACTCTTACTTTTGTTACCTTTCACGCCTACCGCAACATCCGCTAATACGAACGGCGAACGATTAACAAAAAGAATACCAAGTTCATTCGGGCATTAATACGAAAACAATTACTTTACTATAATACTTCCTTTTACGTTTTTTAGGATACCCTATCTTATGCTGCAACGCTCTTCCCTGAACCTACCCTACCCTAAACTACCCTACCCTACCTTACTCTACTATACATTACCCTGCCATATCATACCCTACCTTACCATACCCTGCACTGCCTTGAACTGCTGCTCACTGTTATACTGCCCGGTCCTTCCCTGTCCTACTCTAGCCTACCCTATATTGCATTAGCTCTGACACGCTTACTGTATTATAAAGAAGCTCTTTCTACCGTACCCAACCTAACCAAATCACAACCCTACCCAACCTTCTAATTTGTTTTACCAGATCCCATCTTATAAAAGTTCAAGCAGATTTTCACTTTCTAAACATTTTTTACCTACCCTACTTCCATCTTTTTTAAAAAAAATAAATAAAAAAACAAAATTTCGACAACTTCACAAAATTTCCAGCCATTTTGAAAATCAATTTTACTCAAAACAACCTTTTCCAGACAAATAAATTAGTCTGCTAGTCCCAGCCGCAACATCCACCAACCTTATTTTATGTCGAAACACAAAACGAAGGCTAATTTGAATATTCAGCCTAACATAAATACAAAAAACCCTTCAGAGCCATCACTTTTTGTAACATGGGCGGCGGAAAAAAGGGAAGCGGTCACTTCTGTAGCGAGTTTTACGGTCAAACGGGGATCGAAAATGTCTTGTAATTGAGCAAAAAAAGGAATAAATAAAAGAGAATGGGTAGACAGTGACTATCAAAGGAACAAGACATATTATTATAAAAAACAAGAGAATAAAAGTGAAAAAGTGAGAAGAAGATGATTACAGTAGGAAATCTGGTAACTACCTTATAACATCCTGGTAAAGAAAGTACCCCAACCTGTCTCGCTCAGAATCAGCTCAACATTTTTATATAAATTCTTTATATCACCAATAAAAATTTTAGCTCGCGCTTTTAAGTTTTAAATTTTAAATATTTGAGTTTTCCGTTAAACTGGCAAATGTGGCATTGTGTTTCAATTACTTTTTTCGAATTTCCAGACATAATACACTAACAGATTCAGAAATGTAAGTCCATTTAAAACCTTTCTACTAGTATAGCAAAGAAAAATAGTTATAAAGTTAAAAAATTACAAAGCTATAAGCTTGAAACACAAAGCCAATTTAGCGAGAAATTCAAAAAATAATTTTTTAATCTCAATTTTCTCGAGATTAACTAGAAAAAGCGATTTAGTAATATAGTTTAGATCTTTTATTTACATAATCTTCCTTTATAAAAAGTTTAAAGTTAAAGGCCAGTCGGGCACTTTACTTGATAAATTTTTTAAAAATTTCAATAAATGTACAATAACCTATGTTTTGGATAAAAAAATACATGAAAAATTCCATCCGCCATTCTTTTTTTAACTTTCAGCCCGTTAACAAAACAAAAACTAACCTTAATTTTGAAATTCCTCGGCGCGCAACGTTGCGCAATGTTTTTAGCATTTTATTACAACATAAACTTTGTCAAGTATAGTAGTAAAACAGAAGCGTAGATCAAATAGATCTACTGGTAGATAGGTTAATATTATCTTTTTTATACTATGACTTTAAATATAAAATATCTTGCGTTTACTGTAGTTATAGCTTACTATATTTTAATACTATAACCTTAGTGTATATAGTACTATAATCGTACTGTATTTAGTACCGTCCAGTTACAAAATAAAAGTTAGAACGCTTTGTTACAGTAATATCAATCCAACAATAAGGAATACCTAGTAGATACTAATAGACCAACGTCACTAAAGCTTATCAACCATAACCTACAATATCGGACGGCTAGGTGTAATAACAAATGAAAACTTGATAAGTAATTAAAGATTACAATCCTTTAACATACTCTGTGATTGCTAAACATCATATATAACGTCTGTAATTGTTTTGATAGTGACTAAGTTATTACAAGCCATTAAATCGCGACCACCCCCAAAGTTTGCAAACGGCTTCAAACAATCTGGAATCGTTAAAGGAAGCAGAGGTCAGCGTTCTGTGAATTTCGAAGGTTTGGGTTTGATATGATACGTAGGTAACATTAAATATATCTTAGAAAAATTTAAAAAACTTTTTTTATTAACTAGACGTGTCTTTTTCTATCTGTAAAAACTTTAAAGTACTATAACTTGCTTGTATCTTCACCTGACTATCTAAAAATTTCGTTACTACCATTACTTTAACCCTTTTTTTAAAGATAAAACAAGGAAAACTCTGACTAAATCTCATAAAAACAATATAAACAAAATTAGGCTTTTGCACTGTGAAGAAAACAGTATTACATCTTCCTCGTACTTTTCGTATGTCTACTAAAAAATAAAATAATCTTAACAACGTTCGAAAACAACCTAAGATTAGAAGTTCAACATCAAAATAAGTAAAGATAGTTGGACAAAGGCTCAATGAAAACAAAAAAATTTTATCATGTACCATACCAAGTGTATTAGGTTGTTCAAATAATTCTGTGTCCCCTCTCAAGAAATTCTTTTGAAGTGAGAAAGCACAGAATTATTTGAACACCCTCATATCAACTTTTCAAAAATACAACTTGTCGTGCCATGCCCACGTCTTTTTACAGCTACAAAAAATATTTGCCTACATCCCACGAGTTTGTTGTTTTGTGATTTGCGTCAAATGATAAGCTTTAATTATATTATTCTTGATGATTTTTTTAGATTTTTAGTTCACAATTTTGTAGCTATTCGTTTCAACACCATTTTTGTAGCTTTATAGGTCTTTTAAAAATATTTCTGTTTTTGAAAAGCCATTAAAATTAGAAATGTAGCCTAACAAGTGTCAGAACATAAAAATAAGTGGTTTCTCAGACCATAAAATGTTTACGATCAGAAGACTACTGTAAGACTATAAGGCTATGAATTTTGAGGGTATCAACAGTGGTTTTTAAAACTAAATAACCGCTAAAAAATCAAAAGTACAAAACAAAAAAATATTTTAAAAATTCGCTATAAGACATAGCTCATTACTTTTTAAACAATATTAAATATTGAGCGTGTAACTCGCTAGCCAATATTAATTAGCAGTTTTTAAAACAGTTTTCCTAGTAACTTTTTATGCTTTTTATTAATTTTTGTGAAAGAGACCGCTATCAAAATTTTAAAAAAATTCCTCAGTTACCCAAATTTTTTCAAAAAAGTACTACCACAATTAACCTGCCAACCCAACCCGCCATCAAAAGGCGGCTTACCAAAACTTTACTGTAATAATAACCACCGCCGTCCAAATATTTGCATTTTTTTACAAAAGCGCCGCCCAAAAAAGGCTTCTTGAAGAAAGGTCATGATCCCAAATTAAAGTTCGCTTCACTGTTGGAGGTATTATTAATAGGAGAGAGTAAATAAACAAATAAATCCGCCCCGTTACCCCAAATCGGTGAGTTATGCGACAAATGATTAATGGCGCGATAATCGAGGACATTTCTGATTTGAGTGCCTTAGGCGTGTTCTAAAGGTCAAGAGTTTAGTTATTAAAAAAATTGATTTTTCAATTACTGATCCTCACTGATACAATAAGACTTCAAAAATACTTTTTGATAGTAAAAAATTTCATTCTTTGGTCGAAAGTGGGCTAGCGAGCCCTTGTAAAGAAGCCGGACCGGGCCCAACTTTTCACTCCGGCCTAGAACGATAAAGCCATCAAGCTCAATTTTTTCGGTTTGGCCCAGTCACTTGTAAGTTTTTTCCGTCTCTTAAATTACTTTTCAAAAGTCAAATCTTCGTTGCGAGACCTAAACTGAGCCCCTTAGTCTAAGTCCCGGCCCTCAAACCCGACCAAATGTGCCGGCCCGGCCCTTTTTACATTTACTTCTGCCTAGCCTAAGGGAAGCCTTTCCGATCTACTAGCGAGCAATTTTGATCTAAAGAAGAGTAGAAGTAAAAAATATTTTTGCCCACAAGTGGTACCAACAAGATAATCTTTTTTTAAAAGATGACCACATTCAATTTTTAAAAACTATTAAATAAAGCCCAAAATTAACTTGACCGCTGGTCAAATAATTAAAATTAAAAAATGGCTGAGTGCCTTATTTAGCAAATTGTACTCAAATTTCCAAAAAAAGAAACATTAATTAAGGCGCTGGTCAAAGATTTTTCTAAACGGAAAAAACATTTTACTATCTACAAAGTTTTTTAAAAGCGCATCGTGGAAGAAAACCTCATTATACAGTAAAACCTCTTTAGTATGACTCTCAATAGTGTGCCACCCTCCTTATAATGACAAGTTTTTGGCCGCCCTTGAGCCATTTTTGTATTTAATACATCACTACAACTATGTAGAAGTCTCCACGCCTCTAAGTTTACTATACCATAACTTTGTCTAGTAACTTTATATAAAAAACCATATTTTCATTCCTCACTTACTACGTACCTTCAAACTAAACATATTACACATCCCTTCTAACCCTCTACCAGTACATTAACCTTTCATACCCTCTATTCCTCTACCTCTCATAATAATCTTGTATTTTCCAAATATCTCTGCCCCCTCCACGCTCAACCTCACTCAAAATCCATCCTCATTAAGCCCGTGGATATTCGCCATGATATTGACCTCGATGCGAAGTCTCAGAACGTCGTGGTATTCGAACGTCGTCGAAATCCCGTTCCAAAAACGTTCATTTCATACAAATGTTTGAACGGATTCCGCGCTCTCTCCACTTCGTAACAAGTGTTTTTTTTTCTCGTCTACAAACAAAATCAGCATAACAATCTGATTTCATAAAAAACGAATAACGGCGTCTTGAAACGTTGATGTCGTTAATGTTTTGTCATAAAAATGACCAAAACTTTTGGTGGAACAACAAGAAAGAAGTGGGGTAATGAAAGCTTTAGAGGCTACATTTTAAAATCAAATTTTGGTTGTTAGAAACTTTAAAAACTAGACATTTTGCTGACTATGATCAATAACATCTACCCAAATTACAGTAACATCTATTCCGGCTAAATTAACTTGTATTCGAGCTGCAGTAACCTGCATTCCAACTAAAGTAAACAGTATACAAGTTACAGTCACCTGTATACGATCTACAGCCCCTGTATTAAAGCTACAGCGACCTTTAATCGACCTACATTAACCAGTAGTCAATATACCTGCATTCGAGCTATAGTAACTTCTATCCGAGATACAGTAAGCTGTGTTCAAGCTAAAGTAGCATGTACTCAAGATAAAATAACCTGTATTCCAGCTACCGTAACATATATTCCAGCTACATTAAGCTTTATTCCAACTACAGTAGCTTGTACCTCAACAATAGTAACCTAGATTCATGCTATTGTGCACTGCACTTCAAATACAACCATCTTTGCTTATGAATTCACTAAACACTACAAATAACTATCCTACTATCAGTGTGTGCCCACAAAATCACCACAACGCCATGTGTTTGAAGCCAAGCCTTCCCTGTGACACTTCTTAAACGCTCATCACTCGAATGGCCATGAATGTTGTGTCAACAACGAACTGTTGTTTTTGCTTTGTCCATCTGTTCGAGAGATGTTTCGCGCATTGACAGAGTAAAAGCGCGGCCGTAAATCACTCGAATTGGTTTTTGTGCGGCGAAAGAAGAACAGGAAGATTTACATAAATTTGGGGACATTTGGTTTGGTCATTTGTTGCGCATGTTGCTTTGTTTCTACCGTGATTAGGGTGAGCTATACGGAATATTTAAAGACCTCATAGAAGGATTTTGCTCATTCATAATTAGACAACTTGATAAGACACGGCTTAAAAAAAGATATAATATTAAGTCAAACCAAAAGTAGCGGGACAATTTTTAGTTAAAAAATAAAAAAAAAATTGTCCCGCTACTCTTGGTTCAACCTTGTATAAAAAACCAAAAAATTAAATCCACCCAAAGACCCTAAAAAAGCCAAATATCTTAACACCTCGCCATTAAAACGATGTAAAAATAAGAAAAAATACCCCAAAAAGCGACCATACATTATTAAGCTCAAAAATATTTTTTAAAAAATAAAATTGTTAAAGAGCAATATGCTGTTATAATAAAAGCCCAAAATTACACTTTTACACTAGAGGGTTAAGGATAAACTGTTACAAAAAAGGGTTAAAAAGCAAAGCAAAAGCACCTTTTTTCTTGCACCAACCTGACAACGAGGATTGTGGAAGTCCAGCGATGCCACTATTGTCAACAGTATTCGAGGTTTCTCCAGAACACAGTTTCGTCCGGCCTAAAAATATAATATTAGTTTTGAAAAGTGACGTACGAGGAAAGTACTTAACCTGCCTTACTGAGAAAGTCAGACAATGCCCTCGTTAATCTTATAAAAAATTTTTAGTTTTTAAAAAAACTCCATTTTGCAGAGTATGGTATTATAGAGCAAAGTAAACTAAGTAAACACAATTTTTAAAAATTCACATCTTCCCCTTCTTATCCAAAAAAAATTTTTAATTTACTACTGTTTAAAAAAAAATTCATCCGTCAATCTCTTTCCCTTTTTTCGACAAAAATATCCTCCCCAGCAAAAAAATACAAAATTATTTTTACAATCTACCACTTATGCTACCCTACCCTACACGGCCATGCAATTTTCTGCACAGTCCTGCCCTAATCTTCTTAGAAAAATCAAATTAAAATGGCGAAAACCAGCCAAAGTTTCAAAAATTTCAAACAAAGCCCCCTTTTTCAAATATTTTTCAATTCCAAAATCAAAAATCCCTCAATTACTATCCCTCATATGTCTGGCCAGACATTTTTTTGTCTCATCGACAAATTTGCAAGAATTTATTTTATTCAGCGCTTCCGCCGAATCGCCTTTTGTCTAGCCGCCTGGTTGAATAATGGCCAAAGGCCAAGGTCATTTCGCACCGTCCATTTTTAGCGAAAACAACCGATAAACACGACATGAATATCATGTTACAGCATGTTTTGCATGTGATATGTTTGATACGTGTGTTGTGTATTATATATCTTATACTATGTATAATATTATATATCTCACACTGTGTATTATATGACCTGTATTTTGCTTTGTTACGTATATTATAGCTTTACAGCGTAGTTATTAAGCTTATACTGAAGCTGCCGTTTAAAATCCTTATAAAATCTACATAAACATATGTCACTATAATATACTATTGCATATGACCTTACTATATGACTACTTACGTCTTTACTATGACAAAAACTGATCAAAATACCCCTTAAAACCTTACCGATGAGTTCAACAAAGCTTTGAAACAGGTCAAAATAGGAAGTCCAAAGCTGTCCGCAGTGCATTTCCTTGACATATCCAACAAATCACTCAGTAATGTAACTCCATCTCGATCGATAAAAGCCTGCACATAGCTAAAGCTCTCCGTTCTTAATGCTACAGCCAATGCTTCAAGTTGTTGCACCACCAATGGAATCGAGTATTTGTCGGGAAAGTGTTTACACCATTCTGACAGCTGTCTTAAGGTAAAATCCAATGAGAATCCAGAATTCTGATTCTGTTTTCGACTCTTTTGCTCCATTATCATTAGCCATTTCTTCTCTGGGCTCTGGTTGGTCAGTTCTTTTGCTTTGGTCGGTCCTAGGTCTAGTTCTTCCTGAAAGAATTGAGGTTGATACCTTTGAAACCTTATGTAATTCTAAACACCCCTTCCCTACCTCGCCTCTAGCCCTAATCCAACCTTACTTGCAAGAACAAATTCACCATGCCCTAAAAATCATTTTTTAACCCACGCCCCCTCAACTTCACACTCAAACCTACCAACAAATCCTGAAACTCGGAGTCCAACTGCTGTCTATCAGGTAGTACTCCCGGGTCCAATGTCATCACCCCATGTATGTTCTGATGTTTCTTCAGGATCAAAGACGGCTCTTTGTCTGGCGGAATCTTGGGATTCTTATCCGCTTTTGTGAAACAGTTCCACGCCCGGTCGATCAAATCGTCTAACATTGTGGTTGCGAATTGTGGTTCATACAGTGATTGGGTTCTGAAAATTAAAAACTGAAATAGAAAAGAAAAATAATTAAAAATAAATTGAATGTTCGTATTTTACCATGAAATCAACGCCAAAAATTTCAAAAAAATTTAAAAAAAAACAAAATTTTTAAAAAATTTCAAAAACCACCTCAAAAATCTTAATTCATACGTTCACCATACCCTCGGGTTTCATAAAAGCCTAACATAACTAAAAAAAATAAAAATTGTGTTTACAGCTCTAGTTAATGTAGAATCCTTCGACAAACTAAGATCAGACCACAAACGATCATAAATATACTTGAAAACACTGTAAGTGAGGTTTCGACAAACAGTAGGAATACTTATTACTTTTGACTAATCAAGCAGCCTACAAGGTCAAATTCGTATCAAATTTTGAAACATCAAACACTTGTCTATTCAAGTATAAGATATATCAGTTTGTCCAGCTATGAATGAACCATAAAAAAGTTCAAAACTTTCTGAATTTTGGCTCATACATATTCGGACAACCGAAAATCTTTCTCGTTCTACTATAGCCTACCTAATTCATCATGCCTTTCCTACCAAAAGTACCGTATACCGAAAATCCTTATAAAGTTGTTCAAATTTCTTTGCTCTTTCTCAATTTTCAGGTTTAAAAAGCACATAATTATGTGAACAACCTAACATTTTATTACCCGCTGCTACAAGTTAAACTACTCTATCAAACCGACTAGCATCAAACACTCTTTAATCGACCAGAATAAACATATGCCCCTGCCAACCTTTAAAACCCCAAAATCCAGCCTTCTTATAATAATATAAACATTGACCATGACTAAATAATCAGACATGTTATCATACAAACAAAATCAAACAAAAGCCATCATTTTTAAAAATCAAAACATCATTCTCCAAAACTTTTCTAATTAAAAACGTCATTTTTACAAAAATTTAAAAATTCCACATAAAATGATTGTTTAAAGAATTAAAAATCAAAATTAAAAACAAAGTCAAAACTTCAAACGAAAAAAGAGATTCATTCAGCATGAGCAACACTTAGTCGGCCACAAAAACATTTCCTTGTGAGTAATATCCGAATGATCGCTATGACAAAACTCGCAAAAAATAAGGCTTTTCGAACTTGACAGAAGAGGTAGTGAGTTAAGTTTTTTTAAAATCAGGACATACATCTAGTAGTGACATTGGACCCGGGAGTACTATCTGATCGACAAAAATTGGACTCTGAGTTTCAGGATTTATTGGTTCGGTTGAGTAATGAGAATAAAAGAGTGCATTTTAACTATATTTTTTAAAAAACAAAAAAATCAGTTCTTAAATTTAATTTGAGATTTACCCTTCTCCCAGAGACGTATGTAGAAAATACACCTCTCCCCCAGATCCAATCATGTTGAAAACACGTTTAAGTCTTGTAAATTTCATACCCAAACTAAGCGTTATAAATTTCACTCAAGATATTTTTAAAGCGATTTGCATAAATTTCGTCAAAAAACAATGTTTTGTACGACATATTGTTAGTCAACTTGATTGACAACATCGCCAGATGGTAATATAAAAATGTATACTATTATTTTGATTCACTTTTTAGTTTGAATAGTAATAGTACTGTAAAATAACTTTGAATAGCAGTAAAATGTATTTTTTCCAAAAAATGTTTTTATAAAGTTAAACGTCACCCGCCTTATCAAGTTTGAGCAAATCATTAAAATTTTAAATTACCGACCATAGTTAAAAAAACACTTCCCCTCCCCTCCTAAACCAAAATAGCCGGTCAAGCATTAACCATACCCCTATCATAAATTTTTTTTCAAAACAAAATATTTTTTTATTCTATATTTTACCTTGAACCTAATCAAAACACAAAAAATGCTACAGTTTTTTCGCTTTCTTTTTTTATTGCCCTCAGGGTCACTTCAGAAGCGAAACAAACTTGTTAGCACTTAATGAAATCGCTCGGATATCTCAAAGTTTCTTCACTTTTGTTTCGTTTTTCATAAGTGTTCCCATCGTCATTTTCACGCTTTCTCACCGCCAAAAGCTCGAAGATCCATACGAAACTGTAACAATCTTAACGAGAACAGGGGGGTCGCTAGAGTCTTGTCTCATGTGATCGAGAATACAAGATTAAAGCTGATTTTTCAAAAGTTCGAGGCATTTTGAAGCGTAAACCTTCGGTGAAATTTCACAAACAAACAAAATTTTTAATTGCTTCATTCCCCAAACAAAGCTTAGAGTAAAAGCAGTAATACATAATATTTGACAGTAATACAAAAAAGACATTACTATTAATACAAGAATAATAAGAAAAACACGACCAGCCTATACAAGTTACATTGCCCCGTTAAGTAGGCCAAACTGCGTCAAGTACCCGTTATAAAAAGTGAACGTGAGGTCATAAAACTATAATAACGCAAGGTAAAACGTGACAACTTATAGCAATTTATAATCTTTATTTCCTCCTTCCTGTACCATCTTGGCCTCACCCCTCCCCTCAACTTATTTTTTTTCTTTAAATTTATCTTGCCCCCCCAAAAAAAAATTTTTTCAATATTGTCCGCCCTACCCAAAATTTCCACACCCCCCCCCCAACTATTCAAAAAATAAAAACAACAGCCATAGCTAAAAATAAGTACCGTACCACCTTACACTACTTCAATATTATGATAGACCAAAAATTAAAAAAGAATCACCCCACCCTCAAACCCATGCCCAAAATCCCAAAATTAATAAAAACGAATGCCAGATGAAACCATCAAATTATATTGTCATCGCCGCACGCGAGAAAACTGTAGACGAAACAAGTTAAAACAGCGTTAATTGATCGACGTCGCTTTTTTTGCTACAGAACGAAGCAAGAAAACACTTCGGAACCAGTCGGAAAAAACCGTTAGAAACGCGCGAAAATGGACAAAAGAACTGTGGAAACACACCTAGAATCATATCCCATAACTATTGCAGTCGAAATTAATAGGAAATTATGTAACTCATAAGTTTTGTGTCATAATAGTAAGAGGTAAGTCATCGGTTTTTGTTACTGTAAGGTTTTGTAGCTTTTATATAATCAATGTACAGTAAGTCAGACTAGCGTACTCTAGACTACAATACCTTTCACTGCTCTACCCTAACTTGCCCTACCATACCCTACCCTACCCTACCTTACACTAATTTACTCTACCTACTCTACCCTAGCCTGTTCTACTCTACCCTCCCCCCTTACTTTTCCCTCTTCCAACCGCTATCCTGATCTACCTTTCACTACCCTACCCTATCCTATCTTGCCTTACCCCACCATATCCTATTTCCTACTACCTGACAACGTAACATACCTTTTCCTTATATTACTTTACTCAACACTACCGTACCCTGCCCAAATTACCTCTAACCCTTTAAAACAATATTTTCAAAGTACCTTTTCTCAAGTGATTGAAGTTGAAATCTCGAATTTCGTTTCTCATCAAATGACATTTTAGCCTCTAATACCCATTCCAAGGTACCCCTTCAAATCCTTCCCACTAAAAAACACCCCTCTCCCCAAAAGTCCATGCCAGACATCCCCTTTCAATTACTTTTAATTCAACAAAACCCAATTGTGTAATGTTTGGGTTTATTTGAATTGCGCGCTCGAACCAAATCGAATATTATTATAGGCGAAAAAAGTCGAACAAGGGTCAAACCTCCAGAATCGGAACAGCACCGGAAGAGGGAGCGCGACCGTGTCTACCGCCGCTTGTACGCAACCGCTTCTGTGCTAATTACACGATACTTGTGGGGGTGTTCCTTTTCGAGAATCGGATAATTGTGGAGAAAGATTTTTTAAAATGTGATACTATCGATAAAAATTTTCATTTTCTGCGCCTGACTAAAAATTTCACCCCACCCAACATTGAAAATTCCGCAGAAGAAAAGTACTTAACCCGCCCCATTCAGAATCAGCTCAAAATCTTCACAGTTCGGTCATCTTCCACGTTATATTTCCTTAACCACTCACGTTTCAAAAAAACCAAAATCACCACGCCCGTTCTAGAATATTACTCAAAATTGTCCACTATTCCCTTACTCTATTATGCCCTTCTCAACTTGATAAATATTATTCTACAACATAAAGACAGTATAAGTCTAGGTAACAAGCAACTAACCTCGAGTCTACCACCGTCCCACATGTCTACCTACCTAAGGTTTCAGCGTTCACACCTTACATAATAAGCCAATCCCAAAGCAACAGTAGCCAATTTGAAAGTAGCGAAAACTTTCGACAATAAAAAACCATGTCATGTTGTTGATCAGATTTGAGAACGGAAACCAATGTAAACATAGCCAATTATTTATCTTACAAGGAAGTGTACTATTAACAAATCTTGTAAAACATATTACACTAGAGAGATATGGACAAGATAGTTGTGATAAAATATCATTTCTATTTTATTTCCAAAAAACATTTCCACTATCCTTTTCTGAGTTTTCCCAAGCATAGACTAGACTAGAAAGTAGACATACAAAAGTGCAAAAAGCTTGTCATAATGCCCAAAAAATAATCGTTATTCATAATCTCTGTAACCCAAAATAGCCACAAAATACCGTCGTTTGCGTCATTAAAAACTCTTCACACTGTGACAGTAGATGACCATTGAAGCGTCACCGTTCCGGAATTCGATGACCTCCATAAAAAACAACCCATTAAATCCAAGGTTCAAAACAACGAAAAAACGACTAGAAGACGTCATAATATAAGCGTTATTAGATCTAGATTGTAGAATTTAGGTCAGAAGCACCCTGCTCTACTCTATATTGTCCTATCCTGCATTACCGTAATTGCTCCAAGCCAGTTATTCTTTTCCCTATCTTATCCTGATATACCTGACCATACTCCGTCTTGCTCTGGTATGTCCTGCCCTGCTCTACTCTACCCTATCATACCTACTTTACCCTGCACTGCCATACCCCACCCTAGTATATTGCTTATAACAATAGTCACA